GTCTAGAAGAGCACAGTATCAGCTCTGCCTCTTACACACGAGTCTGATTTTTAATACAGGAAGAACACATTAGGTTAAGCACATTCAGCTAGAAGCACATTAGGTTCGTTTTCTCCCAAGCATTGGATTCAGCGGTAATATTGCAGTATCGACATTTATCACAAATTTAAAACACATTTCAGAGAACAAGGTTTCTGGACTAAAAATATTTCATAGATGGTTGTAAGATAAGAGCTCCGCCTCCAGCCAGTTTTGAATTTCTATTGCTGGAATGCAGCTTTTATTAATATTTAACAAGGAACTAATTTTTCAAATACTTGTTTCCAGTAGGTGACAAAAACATTTAATTCAAGAGGACTTCAAGATTCCTTCTCACACAGAAGTGCACTGGCTGCAAGGAAACCTGTGCACTTTCTGGATAGCCAGGATCAGTCAGGTTCATCAATTAAGCTGAAGAAAAACACATGGATGCATGTCATGTACCTCCAGACCACAGGTACCTGCTCCTACAGCCTGACAGGACTGACTACAAACATGTAGTTGACAGTGGTCACGTGCAGTTGTTCTTCATCCCTGCTCATGCCAACATTTTGTCAGGAAAACAAAATGTTCCGAAGTTGAACAGAAAAACGTTGGCTTCATGAACACAGGTTGAAACGTGTGCTGCCTACAGAGAGGTCCTAAGGACTGTACTCTTTGCCCATCCATCCTCCTTACTGTGAACATCCATCTTCCACACACCCATCCTTCATTTTGCAGACAAACTCGGAGAAAGTGGATTTGCTTGACTAACAATCACTTGGCACAGTAACTGCATTAATTTACAACATCTGTGACAGTATCTTGGTTATCTGTGGTTAAAACACCTACCCAAACTTTTGAGAAAACACAAAGCCTAATACCACAGAAAATTTCAGGCCCCACAAAATGAATCCTTTTTCTCTCCACTGAGAGAATGCCAGAGGTTTTGACAGGTATCTTGTTCCTTTTTCCAAGAAAATACACAAAAAGCAGCAGAGCTATAGCATCTTCGGTATTCTTAGACACAGCCCAAACATTGCAGTTGGAATTATTCGTTCCAAGAGGTTTGTGACAGCTCAAAAATCTTGGACTGAACAATTCCCATGAACAAGACAGGCCCCCATTGGAGTTGCCACACTCAAATCGCTGCAAAACTGACGAATATTGACTGGGCTGATGTGTCAGAAAGCAATGGGCAAAGAGAGAAACCAAGGGGTGGGGAAAACCCCTTTGCCACACTGTTTCCCTCATGTATGGAATAACCTGGGAAAACGCCGACTTAAATTTCACTTTGGGAACCGTGTTGCAAATCCAAAGAGAAGTTCTCTCCCATAACAAAAGAAGTCAAAAAACCTCCAACTGCAATCAGCATGTAATAAGAATTTTATTGAATACATTTAGAAAAAAATCTAGAGCATGAAGACATGAGATTAATTTCTGCCTGTAGTTTTACGGATGCGCAGAATCAACCAACCATGCAGCAAGACATCTCCCCCGTCAACCGTCATTCAAGACTCTTAGAACGGCAGAATTATTACCGCCTTAAAACAGTGTTCCAGACACGTAACTCATTATTTTAAAAAGGATCCCGTTCCTGAACAGAGATAAAAAAGTCTTAGTAGCAATCAGGCAAGACCACTGAGTAACAGGTGCAGTATTTAACCAATACTCATGCCATGTCTAAAGAATGCAAGCAAAAAATGCATCGTTATGTAGAATAAGTAGATTTTTTTTTTCAAGGCAAAATTCCTATTAAAACTAGTCCCTAAACTACTGAAATGGTGACTTGATAATGTACATGTTCCAGAAGACCATTCAATGGAGGAATTTTTTGTCTTTTTGTCCAGGTACATCAGTGCCATGTAAAACATACAAGTCCGGGTAGCAGAACAGCCCAGTGCTCAACAGTGTATGAACATTAAAAACAAATTTCAGCTCCTCTGGGAAATGCTGTTACAGGCATGACACATAGTGGTAGACAGGAAAATGGGTTTGTACATGAGGGAAAAGATTTAAGATTTCCATCACAAAATTGTATACCCGGCACCTCTGCTGTGAAGACAGGCTGAGAGACTTGGGCTTGTTCAGCCTGGAGAAGAAAAGGCTCCAGGAGACCTTCTAGCAGCCTTCCAGTACCTGAAGGGGCCTACAAAAAAAAAAAATCTGGAGAGGGACTTTTTACAAGGGCATGGAGTAACAGGACAAGGGGCAATGTATTTAAACTGAAAGAGACACGCAATATGCTGTTTACATGTGTAACATGCAAACCCACACTGAAACGCACTGCTGCTTTTAAAGACTCATTAATTATAAAAATACAGCTAGACTGTAGTGGGTTAACCAACTTGTTAAATACAACACAATTCCGAAAACATGAAAAACAGGGTAAATTTAACAGCAAGTATTCCAGTATATACTTGTTTGCAATGTAGTTTCACTATTCTTAGGCAGGTGAAAGCCTATGGGATCAAAACTCACTTTCCTTAGTTTTCGATCTTTCTTTTGAGGAAGTATGGGGGTTGGTTTGATGTACTACACTCGGTTTCACCTGCTGTCCACATTTACTAGAAGTTACAGCCAAACCAATACTCCACCGACTACCACCGTGTCAAGATGTCATTTCATGAACTACCAGGACCAAACACTGGTGCGTTAAGCCTGTTCTGAGGAACTGCTCAAAACACTCAAATTCAGAGAGAGAGACAGCTTTTGCAGCTTGATGAGGGATGCAGATGTTTGGTTACACAAGGCTGCAAACAATTAATGCAGTGAAACAGGAAACCCACAGCACTCTGTACCTTCTGAAAGCTCATCCTTTTTCATTTTGAAAAACATCACAGGCCATGTAAGACTAGGCTGTTATTTGTAAACCCTATACCTTCTTGCTTGATCAAAGCTGGGTTTTTTTGAGCTTACTTTTTTGAACAGGTGAATTTTAAAAGTGGTTTTCTTGTCATTGATGGGGAAAGTCATTATGGAACTCCTGAAGTATCTTTAATTTTCTGCTGCAAGTATGAACAGGAAAAGAGTAGGAGGGATGAATAAAAAGCCAAAGCAAAACTGCAGACAATGTATACAGGAGCTTTCTTCCACTTATGACCAAGTTGACTCAGCAACCAGCGGAATGTACTTTAAAAGAGCGTAACAAATAGTTATGGGGTGCCAGAGCCTGTAGCATTAACAGCGGAAGGGCCAATCATCTCTATTTTTCTCCATTTAGCATTTAGTATACAAGGGAGCAGACTACTTGCTTAAGAACAGAAATTCTGGTTTCCCCAAGAAATTCCATTTCCCTTGCAGTTCTTTAAAATGGATTTTACATGATGAAAAGCTACTGCATGCAAGGATGCAAATAAATTAAAAACATATAAAATAAAAAAGTGTGGAAAACATAAGATATTTAGAGTATTTATATATGCATATGGATAGACACATGTTTGAACTTGCTTGTTAAATAAGAACTTTATCCTGGCATTTGAACACTGCTCATTTTGCTGTCCAAGTTCAGAGTTCTGCCTACAAAAACACAGATGGCATGCTGCTGGCTGCAGCTATCTAGAATTTTTCACCCACTGAAGTGATTGCTCTCCGTATTACACTAGTAAGAGCTCCATTTACTGGTTCAGAACACATCAGGGAACACCTGTTCAATTTTCAGAGGACCATTTGCAGGCATACATTTTTGTAAGCTTGTACCCTACCACTTCACGGCACCTGACGTTTTCAAATTTAAAACAAAACAAAAAACCCACAACAAAACAACAAAAAAAGCAGGCATTGTTAGAAGTTAATAGAACCTTTTAGGCAGAACTTAAGAGCTGGAACTTTTAATAGGGGCTCAAGGGAGTAAGCAACCATGCTCTCTCCAAGTCAGGGAGAAAACAAGAACTTAAAATGAAGGTAAAGCAGCACCAACCCAAATTTCATACATACAGCATCGGTGTTACTTTCTTGGTGTTTGGGGAGGGTTTCTTTGGTAACATATTTCAAGTACTGCTAGAGACAGAACTCTGAGCTCAAGTCAAATTGTACCCGTTGGAAAACAGTAAGATCCTTAGAAACTTATATTTAGCTTTAGAATGCCTTTACTACACTCTGTGTTTCTCTTGGCATTATTCCACATCTGCCAAGGTAGGTAGATGAGCATCCGTGTATTTCAACAGCATCCAGACAGTCCCCAGGACTGCTTGTTTACCTATGTAAGTTTTGGCACAATAAATAATGGTGTACATTTTGCATGACTTAGACAAAAACACTGTTCTTTCAGCTGTAACCCACAATTAAGAAACTATTTCAAAGAGAAAAGCAAGCAACATTACTGCATGAGTTGCTGCTTGGATAAAAGTCTCATCTTTATCCTGTTTTCAAACACAAATCTTTACTGACGGAGAACTGAAAACAAAAATAAGGTCTTGATTTCTCATTACAGTGTTTTGCTTATGCTGTTCAAAAGAAATAATATTTTTAAAATATTTTAATTCAAAGGTACAATTATAATTTGAGGCAGACATTTTAAAGCTTGGTTTTTCTCTCCCAAGGTTTGTCCTGTAGATAAATTTAGTTCATAGATTACCATCCTCAGAAACAAAAGCTATGCACACCTACACAGAAATAATTTTCCTGAGACACATACAGCTTGCACTGTCTTCTCCTACTACACATTTCCACCTACTCTCAAAAAAGATACACAATTTTGAATGTTGTCAAATAGGACAGAATATACATTCTAAAGACTGTCAAATATATACAGCACCTTGGTAATTTTACAGTAGTCTGGCTTTTTCTATATTCTCCACAGATGAGACGCTAAGTTATTCAGCCATTTCACTCTCCGTTCACTTTTATATTTAACAATTCAAATACCAAAGGTAAAGGAGTAAAAAAGAAAAAAATTCCCCTCTGCCAACTTTGTTTTTAAGTTAACCTGATCTCCTGCTTTTATACATGAAATACAGCAAAAGTCAGCAAGTACTGAAATCCTTAGCAAAATACTTTTTATTCCATCCCTCCACAGCCAAAGGGTATTGAAACCAACCTTAGTTTCAGAAGACAAAAATGCAAGTCTACAAGTGTTCTTTCACATTTATGTTTATGTATTTTTTTATTCTAGATGTAGAATTGCACATTAATCATTTCATAAACTCAGATTTTTTTGTATCTGTATTACTGTGTACTTCATAGCAAACAGTGCTGAATTTAACACGTGCTACCCAGTAGATCCAGTCTAAACCGAACACTTGAAAAAATAACATGCACAGCGGACTGAGAACACATCTACTGGATAGTCAGTGCATTAAAAGTAAGGTTGTAAGCAAGGGCTAACAGCTCTTTTACTCTCAATCCCATGGAGACACTCCAACTAGAATAAATACACTCACGGGAGCAAGAGCAGGAAGAGCTGTTACCCTTCAGGTTTACACCCTCGTTTATTGTGCGTCGAATTCCTTTGTAGAACGGAACACATGATCTGGCATAAAAACCCGAATCCATATAAAAGTTAAATATCTGATTACAGTAGCAAGTCACCACTTCATAACGGGAAATAACTTGTCTCTTGGCATCATTATTGATCTGAATTCTCTTTTTTTTGTTGTGCGTTGGATACCGGTAACTCAAGACTCGCCCACAACAGGGGCTCTGCTTTTCTCATAGTAAGCTCAATCTTCGTAGCCGTCATGTTCACATAACTCCTCTTTACATCGATTACCTGGAACAGAAAATATGTTTCACACTTCAATTTCAGAAGCAGACTGCTAGATATTTGGGAATTAAGTTAGGAAGAATACCTTATCACTAAATTTCAGCAGATGTTTAGGTAGATGGAGCTCGCTCTGTCACCTCGAAAAGCCAGCCCTCTCCCAGTCCCAAACTATGTCTTTGCATAAGTAACACACACATGGGTCTAACACACACATAGCACGCAACTGTCTACTGCCAAGGGTAGTCTGTAACACCACCATCAGAGTGCTGGGACCAGAAAGGACCTCAAGAGGTCACCTTCTGCTCAATGCAGCATCAACTATGATGTCATACCTGATCACTTAGAGCATCAGATTCAGATTTAAATGTAATTACTGAATGACATGCAACCAAATTTCTTTCAATAGGCAGAGTAATGAGCTAAAACAAACTGTTTTTAAAGAGAGGAAGCTGAGGGTTTGTGGGTTTTTTTGTTTGGTTGGTTGGTTTTTGGTTGTTTTTTTTTCTAAATACAAAAATTATACTTACTCCCCATAATTTCACACTGCGATGAAATTCCTTTTCTCCTTCAAATACAATATGGATATTTAACTTAAGAGGAAAAACAACAGAAAATTTTGTCAGGCTAATAAAACATTTGACACCTCAAGTATGTTTAAGCAAAATATATCACATTAGGACTCAGATCCTACAATGAGCAAAGTGATCAAATTGTCCGTCAAACATGGAAGTGAAAATCTATTCTAACAGATTCTGAAATAGCACCACAGTCAATAGTGGCCGGGTACACATCCTGGAAGCTGTATCATGTTCTCCAAATGCATGATTAAGAAATCAGAGAAGCATTTTAACACTTAATATTAGTAGCTGTGAAACTGCATGCCATTAAGAAGAATATTAAATTACATGAAGCCAAATACAACTAAATTATGAATCTGTAATTATTTACAAAGATGGTGATACAAATCCATCACACTCAGGTTTTAATTGCAAAAGTCTAATTTAAGATTTTTTTTTTGATATATTATATTGCAGCTTTAAAAAAACCCCAACACATTAAAGTACAGATGTCCAAACAGAAGGGAAAAAACAAGCTATACATACTTGAACAAATGCCAAGATAAAGCCATTAATCAAAAGAGATTCTTATGCTACCTCTGCCTTGTAAACAAAGTAGAAGGCAGATTTCCCTAACTTCAAGCTGCTGTAAGAATAAAAAAAAGAATTATATCTTAAAGTAGATACTCACCATTGTGCTATTTGCTTCTACGAAGCTCAGATCAGGAACAGAGTTTTTAGCATATACAGAAATAGTCACTTCTCCTCCAGTCTGGTGCCAATCATGCCTACATGGAACTACTTTCTTACCCTATATAAGGAAAAAGGTACAGAAAAAAGATTTAAAATTGCATTCAGGAGTATTTTTACAAGACTAATCAGGATAAAAGCCCAGTACTATTTTAACAGCCAATAAGCAGAGCTAATAAAGGATGGCATTCCACTTTCACAGGAGACTGCAAGACTCCACTTACATTTTTTTTTTACTAAATATTTCAGCTACTGGTCCCTGACAAACACATGTGAGAAAATCAATGCTTATGACAGAGACTACAGTAAGAATCTAGGACATTGTAACAGGAAAAAAAAATAAACCAACCATCCCCCCTTTTTTTGGCCCTCAAAAAAAGCCATGACTCCAAGTAACTTCCACGTTACTGCAAAAAATTATTGAATCTTATCCTCTGTAGGAAAAATGAATGGTGAAAAAAACCCAAAAGACCAACAAAAAGGTCAAGTCAAGCCCTGTTAACTAGAAGCCCATTATCTCAATATACACATATTTAACAACATATAGTTCCTAAACATTCTGGGTAACTTCTTTACAATAATACTCTCCTGCTTTAGCCTGACAACTTCAGCTTGCTTTTTTTTTTTAATGCTTCCTTTCTGTATTTCAAAATACTTAAACATAAAACTTCAAAGCAAGCAGCAATTCCATGACTTAAAGTAAGTAAAGGACTTGTGAATTAACAGTTGTAGAATGAGGTAACAGAACTACACCTTCTAGAATACATCTTCATTTTCTTCTGTTGAATGTTACTGATGTTTGCAGTATCAAACCCATTTTGCCTCAGCAATAAACAATATATTCATAACAATAATTTTGTGTTCACCTGCATCCAACATGCAACCAGCTAATGTTTTTGAAGTAAATGTTCACTTCCATTGTTATGTTCTACAATATTCTCTAAGAATCTTTCTAAACCTTGAGCAGAAATAGTTTTCACCTTGTAATTCTGCAGTTTGTTCCCAATGTTGCAATAAAATACCTACAAACTAAAGAGATGCTCTCTCTGCATTTGTTATACTGGTAGCCAAACCAAAATACTGTATTAGAATCAGACTAGAAAAATACTCAAACAAAAAACAAACAATCCAAATTAGACAGGAAGAGACCCTTCCATCCCAACTCCCCACCCACGGAACCTCATCGACCTCATCTACCCTGCCATGCCCACCTAAACAACAACTCAACTACTCTGAATGAAACTGGAAGAACAGTTGTTTTACTATAGAGCACGTATGGCTGCTCTCTTCACGGTCTTTTGGGGAGGAAAGACTTCTAATACTCTTCCATTAAAGAAATATATATGGAATACATTCTATACAGAATACTGCAAACCTTCTTAAAGAACAAAGCAGAAGAGACTGCTATTTTTTTCCTGATTTTGCCAAACCCATGTTTACTATAAAATAGTGATACTGTACATATCACTAAAAGGAAAGGTGGTACCCTGTTACCTCTACCACAGACTACTCCAAATTCCACTTCCCTCTTGTCACACTGTGCTTAATACTCCCCACACTACTTCCGAGGTCGCGGTCAGTAACAGCCCAACGGCAGCAATAGGTCCATCGAGCACTTTCCAGCACTCCAAACACAGCGTGGTCAGTACAGAACGCCACCTTCCCGCTACTCACCGCATCCTTTTTAGTCCATACATGAGTCCCTGTCGTGCAGCCTTCTTGAGCCAAGAATGTATTGAAGTCAGATGTTTTTCTTTTACAGCAGCTCCAGTACTTCATCCTTCAAAGTTTGCAAAGTAATTAACAAACAATATTTAGGACACGATTTAGTGCGAGCACTTAAGATCTTTCCTTTGTGTAATATTACTGTTAATTTAGTATACCCTCTTCAAGCACTCCCATTTTTGACTGAAGAAGAAATACAGAATGAAAACGAGGCAACACCTACAAATGAAGCAGGAAGACACAACAGACTAATTTTTTTTAAATTAAAGTTAACGGAATACTAACCCTTCATGGAATATAGGTACACCAGAATGGTACATACATACTTCTTCTGTGCTGTGTGGTCCTTCGTACGTCTAATAAAACAAAGAATTTAAAGTGGATTACTGTTAAAAGATGTGGACCAAAGGAAAAATCAAAACAAAACACAACCCACAACAGAAACATTGAACAAAGCACTACATAGCTTTCGAGTAAATAATCTAAACCTAATGGCTTGCTCTAGCTTTTCAAAATAACCAATCAACCTTCGTTCACAAAAGGTTCCCTGTCACTCCTCCTAACAAGCTACACGCTGTATTAGTTCAACGGAGTATGTCAATGGCGACATCATCTATTTTCATAAAGGTCATTTTAGATCCTCAGAGATCTCCCTCTTTAAAAATAATATGAATATTCAGGGAAAAAAGTACTTAACTGGAAAATAAATTAAACTTATAACTCATAAAACACATGGATTCTCAAAAGGAAGTAAATTAAACAATATACAACTCTGCAACCGAGTATCGTATCAGTTCTTCCTCACGCAACGAGACTGCTATAGATTCTTCTCCCACCAGAGTTTCAGCAGAAAACGCAAAACCTGTCAGATACCCAGTGAAATACCTATTTAAATTGCACAGCCCTGTTCTGTACAACACAAGGGTGTCAGTATAAAAAGCTTTCAGCCTTAAGGACTACGTAATATGAAGACTAATTTTGGTGCTAGAAGTGTTAAAGTATTTCCCTTGTAGATTCTTCTGGCAGGAAGCATTAACTGGTAAGATCTGCAGATGCTTCTGACTTACACACGGATTATCAGGAACAATTCAAGTGTTATCAGTAAGCCACCTCTCACCAAAATTTTATTTCACATTTTAAGTTGAAATATGTCAGCATCACAGGTTTGACAAGCTAACTAACTAGAAGTTCAGGACACACTTAAAAAACGTAACTTAGACTTCCTGCATCCACCATACGAAACAGCCTGCAATGGTCCACACTAAAGTGTTACCATACGTGGACTTTGTGCTGTTTCCAAATCAATTTGTAGCACACAAACAAACACCCAAGAAAGGAAAACAACACTGCACACTTCATAGTTCAGCGGCTGGGTTTAAGCGTGGAGCCGAACCACTTACTTTTGAACAGCCTGCGTTTTTACACGCCGTCCCAGTCTTGATTTCATCACTGTCTTCCTCTGTAAACAGAATCATATTATAGAAAATAGCAACTGAATTATGTAATGTACTGAATATTTTGTTATTATTGAGAATTAAAACGAGCTGAGGAGTAGAGTAGGAAAAAACACCACAACTCTCAAGCTGTCTGTTTTCTGCCTGGCACTGAACTCTGTCAGAAAGGTACAAAGAAATAGAAATTATGCAAACATTCCAAAAGCTCTATTACCTGTGCATCACATTATAGGTTCTACACCTTTACACTATTCTAAGTGGGGCAAAAAAAAAACCAAACATGAAACGGATTATTACAATCATAGAGGAAGAGAGCAATCACTCATCTTGTTTGGTTTTGTAAAACCAAGAACATTAAAGGCTCCAACTGCTGTCCATAAATACACACAAGGAAAGAGTTTGGATACCATGTAGAAAGAAGAGCTAAATGACAGTTTTTGCAGAACAACAAAAGAAAACCAAATAGCCACAAGTGTAGATTGAAATTAGAAATTATTTCTTAAGAAGTAGTGTAGTTCTGAAACCAAATTCCAAACAAACTGTAGGAAGGAAAAAAAAAGGAAAAACAGATAAGTGAGTACCAGTCAGTCTTCAAACGAATTTCACCAGTTTATGAAAGGCTTTATATGACATCATGCTTGCAAGAACATAAAAGTTCATTTCTTGGGAAACTCTTTCATGTATTCATAGATGGATGTTCCCATCGTGTACATTTTACCAGGAAATCTTACAAAATAGGCAGCTCAAATAATTTTAATGGGAACATACTGCATCTAACACCCAAGTCTCTACGTTTTCACATTTAAACTTTGATTATCGTTCCCTAGACTGGACGGTATTTCCCAGAGTATTAAGAACAAGAACATAAATACATGAAATAATTACTTCAGAAACAAGAACAAAAAGCAATTCATTTCTTTGTGTGACAATTAGTGTCACATAACTACTCAACCTCCCTACATCCTTACCTTTTTTGTCTTCGTTTTCTGATGACAGTTTCAGTTTATCTAGTGCTTGCTTCAAGGAAGCTGACACTTTCAGCTGCAAATTTGTCATTGGCTCATCTGGGCTAAAAAAAATTATATAATAAACCCATGTATTCATGTCAGCTTCATAAAAAATAATTTACAAAAGACAACAAAGTAGTAACTTTTAATCTTGTTCTGAGGCTCCTCCTTTGCAACCTCCCTTACAACAGCGAACAAACTAGATTTGTAAATGCCAATTCCTACCGTTTACAGAAAAACAGATTAGAAATATAGAAAGCAGACTTAGACTTCAACAGGAAATCCTAAATACTTTACAACAATAAAAATAAATCAGAGAGATTAAGGAATGTAAATACAAGCATCCTAAAATTATTTTTTATGACTGTTTAAAACACTAAACACAACTGCTAGTGGCATTCTAAGCTACAAGGCTTTAGACCGGAATTTTTGTTTCCTGTGAGGCTGAACGCCGAGAGTCTGTACTACCTTGTGCTAACCAGACTTCTTTTATCTCATTTTGAGGCTTAAGGTGATATCATCACTGCTACCAAACACAAGCTCTTTTAAAGCTAATTTGGGAATTTTTACACTGTATGATATGTAACACTGAATAACCAAACAAGCTTTAACCTGACTAACTGACCACAAATCTGGCAAAACTTCGTTCCGTATACTGTACCTTGGCCTTTTAATTGTTTCCAGTGGTTTTGGTGCCTGAATTATGTGTTCTTGAAATTTGGGTTTCAGTTCAGCTAGCTCCTTTCGTTCAGAGGTAGTTTTGACTTCTGGTTTAACAGGCTCAGGAGGTTTCTCACTGTTATGGAGACCCTTTGTACAGCCCTAGTATGAAAAGCATGCATTTATATATATGCAGTGTAGTTTGTGTGCACAATTAAAAATTATCAAAAACTGCAACAAGTTTTCTCATTTCTTCAGCCCCATCTGCTCCTTTAGCCGACTCTAAACATTGGCTGCAAAGAAAATCCTACAACTAAAGTGGAAAATCTCTTAATTTGGACATAAGTTAAAGAAAAAGGCATACCTTCTGCAATCAAAGTACCAAAAAATATCGATTTTCCTTTATTGTTAACAAGAGTCTAAACAGGTTTTGATAGAACTAATTTTAACCATTAAAGTTTGAAAATGAGACTCGACTTCAACATTGTCTCAAGAAAAACAGTGTGTGCAAGATTTCAAAGTTTTAACAAAAGTATGCAAATTTTAAACATGTAACCACATGTACCAATCAACATTTATCACTGTCATTTGACGTGTAAAAATTGTAAATAATCATACATACCACAATGCTTAAGAAGTCAGAAAAGTCTGTTGTTCTTCTCTTACAACACGACCAACCCTACAAACATTTTTGGAATAAAAACAAAACAAGCATGACTATCTTACTTGGTAACAGCTAATAAAAAGCAAAAGACTAATATATTCCTTTACAAGATGCGACACATCATGATTAGAGATTATTTTATTCTCTTTTTTTGACAACTTTGTCATCATCTGCATTTTTGAAAGTCAGAGAAACCTGTTACAGTTGCCATTTCTAGTTCACTCATACTGCCTTAATAGAAAGTTCAGGAAATTGAGGCAATATTTCCATGACAAGGTAGGTGCCAACTCTGGCGGAAAACAGAAGTGCTACTTTATCTCAAAGTAACACATAAGCAAAACAAATACTGTACTTGAGACTAGGCTCACCTGTGGTGTAATGGAAAGGCCCTCTTCCCAAAATGATGAGGATTTTTTCTTTCCTTGAGCGCTAGTCAAGTCTTTCAAGTGCTTATTTCCCACCACAAGGCTGGAGATCTGCCTTACATAGCCACCTATCCAACTACATCAATCAAGAGCACTTCTTACTATGTAAACCAGAAATTCAATTTTAGAGAAAATTATCTTGCCACTGTGAATGATGTATCCTACAACTCAAAGAACCTTATTAAAGGCAGCAGTTTGACTAACAAATGCACCACCACTTGCAGAGCTTAAGCAGTGTGACACAATGGGTTGTACTTAGGTGGCTCTGAAATCGCCTCAAAATATTAATTAACTATTTCCACAGTCGAGGAGACAAAAGGTTCACCCTGCCCACTTAGATTATCTAGAATTCATAGCAGGGAGAAAACTGCCCATACAAAATTATGACAAACTTTTAACTAGGCCAAGAGATAGGATAATGAGAGGAGAGAAAGCAGTACTTGTTTTAAAAATGGTGCGTATTTAAGAGAAAGTGGGAGTAAACACAATCTTTTGAGGCAACTGTACAATTTGTGTCTTTTTAATTACGTGCAAGTTTTTCATACTGCGTTACGAGCACAACTATAATTTTGTACAAAGCCAACTGGCATGGTCCAAGTTAACTGTGTTGTATTTGATCTAAGAGCATCTATCTCAGTTTACCAGTGGCTTTGTACAAAGCCAACTGGCATGGTCCAAGTAACTGTGTTGTACTTGATCTAAGAGCATCTATCTCAGTTTGCCAGTGGCACACTGTGGCCAATTCCAGAGTCAGGTACTGGAACAGGAGTAATAACTCACAGAAAACACACTGCTCAGCACATACATACAAACCTCCATGAGCCCAAAAGACACCACGCTGTGGGACAGAGATGAGAGGCACTGCCAGTAGAAGCAGTTCCTAAATTCCACAAAAAAACACTTGCCCCAAAGCTCCATTAAATAGCAGTTCGGTGTCCTAAGAAAGGTAGTTGGAAATCCTGGCCACTCTGATTTCCTCGAATCATACAATCATTTGGTTGGAAGAGACCCTCAAGATCATCGAGTCCAACTGTTCACCCTGCACTGTCAGGGTCCCTAAACCATGTTGCTCAACACCAAATCCACATGGTTTTTAAACACCTCCAGTGATGGGGACTCCACCACCTCTCTGGGCAGCCTGTTCCAATACTTCACAACCCTCTCTGTAAAGAAATTTTTCCTGATATCTAACCTAAATTTCCCCTGGCGCAACTTGAGGCCATTCCCTCTCGTCCTGTCATTCATAACATGGGAGAAGAAACTGACCCCCATCTCCCTACAACTTCCTTTCAGGTAACTGTAGAGAGCAATAAGGTCCCCCCTGAGCCTCGTCTTCTCCAGACTAAACAGTCCCAGCTCCCTCAGCCGCTCCTCACAGGACAAGTTCTCTAAACCCTTCATTAGTTTTGTTGCTCTTCTCTGAAACCGCTCCAGCACCTCAACGTCCTTCCTGAAGTGAGGGGCCCAAAACTGGACACAGTACTCCAAGTGTGGCCTCACCAGTGCTGAGTATAGGGGACAATCACTTCCCTGCTCCTGCTGGCCACACTGTTTCTGATACATGCCAGGATTCCATTGGCTAGGTCACTTAGGCTACCTCTGTATTAATCAGTCAACAGTGTCAGGCTTTATTTCTGGACACCAGATTTCTGGCCATACACTATTAAATTGTTAGAATGATTTCCAGTACTGTTTTGGCAGTTGTGTCTCAGATAATTCCCTGTAGGCACTTTGGATTCATCCAGTAGATCTTGAAGTAGGAAACCAGTTTAATATAATGAATATTGGCTCTGCAGTTGGCCAGTTGGCCACTGGAGATATGGTAAATATACCATCACAGGTATATTTAATTCACTACTAAAGATGCAGCCCAAAAATCCCGTACAG